CTAGCAGATATTGTGTCCAAACATTAGCAGTACAATCTGCAGCAGCAAATCAATAAAACTGAACCGACACTGAAATTAAACACAATCCTTATTATTTAAACTGAACTAGAGCTATTGTAAACACAAGACTAGTGTAAGGACTCATTGATTCCCACGTCATAAATTAAGGTTCAACTTGTGGACTTTTAAACAAATTGGACACCCCATCCTTACAAGCTAATTTAAAGGATGAGCTATATCCAGTGTGCTTGTAACGAAGGTATCAGAGTAGATAGCCTTCCAAAGGCAGTCCTAGCCCTTGCCATGGACAGGAGTGACGTAGAGAAAGCTAAATGGTTCATGAAGTGACTCAGTCAGATATCATCTCTGAAAAGACGGGTGGATCATAACGACTTTATTGAGTACAACATCAATAAGTTAAATATTAGCTTGAGAGCTTAGCACTTTGAATAAAACTCGCCCTTGATTCAAGGGTATGCTAATAATCAGTTCTCAAAAGACAGGTGGATCATAGCGTCTTATTGAGTTCGACATCTCTAAGTTAAATATTAGCTTGAGAAGTATCACTTTGAGTAATACTAACCCTTGATTCAAGGGTGCCAAATACGCTAATATCCCCACATGGAACTTAGGAGTAGTCGTTACAAAGATATGCATGCCAATTGTAAAGTTGATAAAAGAGTTAAAACACCAACAATATCATTCAAAGTTGTAAACAAATACAACAAACAACTACCTACAAAGGAAAAATAAAGATAAAAATTACCGGGAATATCTTGTCTTCTGGGAAATGCCTTCTTCCTCAGCAATTCCAAACTCTCCTCGATGCTTAAACACCTGGGTTCATAACGAAATCCACTCGGATACACATGAGAAGCAACTTCTCTATTCCGAGTTGTGAGCAATATTTTGCTTCCTGCACCATTCCTCGTATTCGGAAAAGCTGGTTTAAGGCTATCCCAAGCTTGAATCGACCAAATATCATCAAGAACAACCAGACACCTCTTCTTCAGCTGCACATCATGCAATCCCTTAACCAACTCCTCATCCCTCATATCCAAAATCTCATCCCTTTTCTCAGGAATCAATTTTATCAAAATCCCTTGTAAAATATCCTTTTTGTCCCATTGCCGGGATACACAAGTCCAAGCAAATCCATCGAAATGACGCCTTACATCTCTATTGCTATACACTTTTCTAGCAATTGTTGTCTTCCCCAAACCCCCCATTCCATAAATTGAAATAACCCTATCCTTTTGTTCGTCAATCAAATGTGCAACCAGCATTTCAACATCTCCCTGTAATCCCACAAAATCTTCCTCAACAACATGGGAATAAGACCGCGTCAGATCCCGAGTTCTTGCATCACCAAAACCCGGATTTTCTCCTTGATTATTTATGGGTTTTATTCCAAAAGTCTGTAAACTCATAGTGAGACTAGTTATCTTGTTCTTAATATCTGAAATCTGATGACCCACCTTGAAAGTTGTAATAACTTCTCTTAAAAAACAACCTATTTTTTTGAACAAGTTTCTCGAATTTCTGCACCTTCCGGCTGCAATTTTGGCAGCAACAAATACAAGGATATTATCCTCTATATCATAAGCTGCTTCTCGAACTTCTGCAACCCAATTGCTGAGACGTTCATCTGCATCTTGATTTGCATCTGCATCTTTCAAGAAAGACCTCATCAGTTGAAGCTGTTGCTGGATTTGCTCGACTTGGGATCTCACTCCACAGTAGAATTTAACTTCTTCAACAAGTAGATTACGAATGGTTTCAAGTGTAATGGAGACTACAGGCTCAGCCATTTCAGCTTTGAGAGTTTATGAGTGAAAGAGAAATGGAGAAGAGGATTGATTATTCGAATCTCTCTCAGATTTTACTCTGCTTTATAAAAGTTTCTGGGAGCAATAATGCCATTGACTGGTAAAATTGACTTTCAACTACTTATATGTTTGATTACGGACAGAACCAAATGTTTCGTTAAGTACTTAAGTTC